TATATAATATTTNTATATATATATATATATATATATATATATATATATATATATATATATATGGATTTATATATTTTAAATGTTTTTTTAGATATTTAGGAAAAAATGATACTTCAATGAATGCAATTGAAAATATTGATCTATCAGATATTGATCCTAAGTTATTAGAAAATATAATGCCATTTCAACGAGAAGGAATATGGTATATAATTTATGTAGTTTAACAAATTTTTTAAACCAAATAATATTAAATTTGTTGTTTTTAGTTATGGAATATCTAAAGGAGGTCGTTGTATGATTGCTGATGATATGGGTTTAGGAAAAACTATTCAAGCATTAGGCATTGCACATTATTTCAGAAAGAATTGGCCTCTTCTTATAATTGTACCTTCTTCAATGAGGTTTGACAATGAAAAATATTATAAATATATATATATATATATATATATATATATTGTATAATAATATATTATTATAATATATATATTTTATTATAATCATAATTTATTAAATATAGGTACCAGTGGGCAGAAGCAATATGTACATTTTTGCCATCTGTACCTACACATTACATTTATCAATTTGCAAATACAAAAGATATTATTGATGATAGTAAAATTGTTATTACAACATATGATCTCTTAGTACGAGCTGTGGACACATTTCAATGCAAAATTTTTGGTTTTGTTATTTTGGTATGTTATAAATATCTTGTATACACATAGTAATATTTTATTGAAATAGAAATTTATATATTAGGATGAATCTCATGTTTTAAAAAGTTCAAAAACTGCAAGATTTAAGGCTGCACAGTGTATAGTTTTGCAAGCACGTCATGTTGTTTTGCTCTCAGGAACACCTGTGTTATCAAGACCTATAGAATTGTATTCTCAAATAAATCTTATAATGCCAAATTTTATGGGGTATATTTTTATATATAATTTATAAATAAATGTGTATAAATAAATGCACAGATAAAAAGAAATTATATTTATAGATATCACGAATACGGAACTCGATATTGCGCAGGAGAAAAAACTTCATTTGGGTGGGATTTTACAGGATCATCAAATATGCAAGAATTACACTTATTATTAAAACGCACTTGTATAATTCGAAGATTAAAAAATGATATCCTAAATCAATTACCAATAAAAAAAAGGTAAGAAGTTAATAATATATTATATTAATTTAATATTATATAATAATATTAATATTAATTTCTTAAAGTTACATAAAAATTTATATCTTAATAAATATAAATGTTTATTTTATCAAATGAATTTTAGGGAATTATTTTATTAAATCCAGATTTAATAAAAATTGGTAAAGAAATGTTAGAAATATCTAAAAAGCTAAAAGGAAAAATTTTAAATAATTTAGAAAAACATAATACTCTTTTGCAATATTATAATGAATCCAGTGTTGCTAAACAAAAGGCTATATGGTAAGTAATATTATTATAAATATAATAATATATTATTTAATAAATATCTTTTTGAATTAATAATATTTGTAAATGGTTATAATGTTTCAGTGATTATGTTTCAAAATTATTTATAAATAAACAAAAATGCATTATATTTGCTCATCATCATAATATTCTGAATGCTATTTGTGACGTTGTGGAATCCATGAATATAAAGTAATTAATTATATTGATTATATTGTTACCTTTATGCTAAAGACATAAATAATTTTTCTATTAAATAAGAATATAGATAATAAAAAATATTATATAAATATAATATTGAAGTTAAAACTTCAATTCACAATGATTTGACAAATGACAAAAGTATTTTATAGTCAAATTGGCATTGAAAATTATTTTATTTTTATTTTATTTTTAATATTTAAATTATGAACTTCTATAAATTGTTAAATTGCACATTTATGTCTTTAGTATAAAGAATATGATATATAGTATTATAGAAAGATAAAATTTTTATTTATTTGCAAAATTGTATATGTTCTAGATACATTAGAATTGATGGGAAAATGAATTCTGAACGTAGAAAATATGAAATTGATAAATTTCAAAACAATGATTCTTATATTGCAGCGGTATTATCAATTACTGCAGCAAATGCTGGAATTACACTTACAGCAGCACAACTCGTAATTTTTGCAGAATTGTTTTGGAATCCTGGAGTATTTATTGTTTATATTATTTTTGAAATTGTTATTATAATTATATAAAATTAAAAATTAAGTTTATTTAAAATATTTCATTATAGATTTTATGTCAAGCAGAAGATAGAGTACATAGAATTGGTCAATACAAAGATGTTATTATTCAATATTTAGTTGCAAAACATACAGTAGATGATTATTATGGCCTTTAATTCAGAAAAAAATGAACGTATTGAACGAAGTTGGGCTGGATCAAGATTTTTCTTTGAAAGATATTGATTATACTACACAAGCATTAAATTCAAAACAAAAAACTTTAAATTTTTTCATTAATAATGAACAATATAAACATGAAGCTGATAAAAAAATAGTACAAAATAATGAAAATACAACAAAAAATATTATATTACAAAGTCAATCTTTTACTACAGAAGAATTTAAAGAATTACTTGATATGAATGAAGAAGACTTTGACTTCTGTGATTGGGACAATATGGAATGAAAAAGAATTATTATAACTTTATAATAATATGTGTATGAATTTGTATTTAAATAATAAAAATTATTTTTTAATATTTTTTTATAATCATTACAATTATTACTAAAGTTTTCGCAATAAAAAAATGCGTATTTCAGTAATTTTTCATAAAACTTTAATTGCAAATTAAAAATGTGAAGTTCTAGATATTGTAAAATGAAAAATATAATATACATTATCTTATTTTTTATATTAAAAATTATAATTATAAATAAAAATATTAAGATTATAATTTTAAAATATAATTCTATATAATTATAACTATATAGATATAGTTATGTATTTATAAAGATTATAATTCTAACATGATAAAATTGTGTTGAAATTGATATATCATATTTTGTTTCTAATATGATGTCAAGAGTAAATATAGACAAAAAAAAGTAAATAATAAAAAAAAAATAAAAATAAAATAAAAATTAGTACTATCTATAAATGATAAAATATATGTAAACAAGGAAAATAAATAATGGAAAAAGAATAGGAAGAGATAGGAAAAATTGACTGTCAGCGCTATCTCTTTAATACCAAAAACATTTCATTCAAAGACAAGGATAAGATAGAGTGAAATTAAGAATTAAGTGCCATCTTTGAATGTATTTAGAAAGATATTTTTTGGAATAAAATAACGTTTACTTATACACATCTTATATAAATATAGTAATAGGTTATACTTTGAATATTTACCGCACAAACGAATGCTTTCAATGCAGTGTTTTTTCTGAAACTAATGTTTGTTCGTTGATTAAAGTCGTGTGTGAATCTTAATTTGTATTTATTTATAACAAATATTTGCAATGTCCATTTTTAATGCGCAACAGTTTTTAGGTGCATTGTATAAACGTTATATAATTTCACTGCCATCAATAAATTTATCTAGAACTCAAAAAGCAAGTATCTTATTTTGAGGTTAGAATAAATATATTTACATTCAATAATTTCGTTACATTACATAATATTTAAAAAATTATATTCTTTTTATTATATTATTTTTCATAATAATCTAAAAAATATTTGTATTCTTATTCCGTATGATATTACTTCGTAATAAAATAATTAATAATATTTTAATATCTTATTTCTCTTTTTATAGATTTTTATTATTTGTCTTACGGGAGGATCATTACTATTGGGAGGATTAGCACAATTTTTAAAAAGACGAAGAAGACATCCTCTACCTTCTTCAAGAAGACCTTTAAGAGAATTAAAACAAAGATACACTGCTGCAAAAAGTTCTAATTTTGGTAATCTAAACTATAAAATATGTAATTATATAAAATATAAACTTATAAATGGATATTTAATAATTGTGATTAATAAATATAAAATTCTATAATATTAAAATATTATAAAATATTATAAAATAAAATTGCATAATGTTTTTTTCTATATATATAGATGCATTATCACAAGCATCATGGGCAAGAAAAAGTGAGGCTAGTAGCAGAAGTCATATAAGTGATCGAGTATCACTTATATCTTCTGTTCCAGGAGGTCCAGATGGTGATGTAAGACTTACTCCACAACAATATGGAGTTCTTGGTAAGTCATTTTTACATTTAGCTTGTATAATATATTCTTCTAGTCATATTTTATTTAAATATATTTTTATTATATATTCTTATATTTTTTATAATTTTTAAAAGATTTCTTAAAAATATTTAATATTTTTATTATTATTTTTATTATTATTATATTAATGTCATTCTATTATTATTAATATTTAAAAATGATATATAAAAAAATTATAAATTCAATTTTTTTTTATATAAAAATTGGAAGTAAAATAATGTAAAAAATATTTATTAGTTTTTTTTATTGAGATATTTTATGATATACAGGAAATAGAAGTATATATATTATTATTAAAGATAAAAATAACATAATATAGAATACATATAATTTTTTTAACATCCAAAATTATCCTGAGAGAGAGAGAGAGAGAGAGAGAGAGAGAGAGAGAGAGAGAGAGAGAGAGAGAGAGAGAGAGAGAGAGTATATATATATATATATATATATATATATATATATATATATATA